CTTTGTTTTTTCTTGTGTCCTCCCCGGGGGACTCGCATTCTCTTTCTTCCGCTTCTTTAAACTCCATGTGGAAGCTCCTTTCTGTTCCAGTCTCGTCTGAGCTTTGAATATATTCTAGTTCCGATTCTAGACTGCTTTCTGAGGAGGGTGTTGAGCTTCTGCTACGTATGCCATTTTGTAGCCTTTCGTTGTCTTCTTCTTGTCTTCTTAACATCTTTTTTATCTCTCTCTCTCTCTTTTCCATCCTTTTTCTTGTTCTCTGTTCTTCTTCCTTTCTCCTCTGTTCTTCTTTCTTCTCCTTCTCTATTCTAGCTAGCTCTTCTTTCTTCTTTTCTTCTTCCTTCCTCTTCAGTTCTTCGGCTTTTCTCTTTTCTTCTTCCTTCTGCTTGGCTAGTTCTTGTTTCCTTATTTTGATTTCTTCTATTCGCTTTTCCATGTTTCTGATTTCCTCTGCCATTTCTTCTTCTTCTCTTGTGTTCTCGCTCAGGTTCTTCTTATATTCTTCGAATTTAGCTAATTTTCTCCTTTCCGATTCCAACGCTTCTTCTTCTATGGTCTTGGCTTTTGGGGCGTCCTTCATCTTCTTGAATTTTTCTAACTTGCGCTTCTCGGTTTCTCTAGCTTCTTCTTGTTCTTTTTCAAGGTTTCTCTTGTTCCTTTTCCTCATCTTCATACCCTGTCGGGTTTGCTCCACTCTAGAAATCGCCTTTTTGATCTCCGTTTCGGAGTCCGCTGTCGAGTCTTCTGTTCGGCTGTCCACGGCCCTTTCTTTATGTTCTTCTTTTTCTTCTTCACTACTTGATGATGTCTGCCCGGTTGGGACGGCCATAGCAATAAGATCGTTCGGGGCGATCCTGCTTCCATGCCCCGTCGACTCTTCCTTCTTAACTTCACTATTCGCTATTACGTATTGGTGTCTCGCGAACCATATAATGTATTCCGCTTCTGTTTCTTGTATCCAAATGTACATTCCTTCTTCTGTTAGTGTTTTTCCCCGAATCAGTTTCTCGAATTTCTCTCCGTGGATAGCTCTCATTAATAGAATCATGTAGTTCTTCGATATTTCGTATTTCTTATGGGAAGTTTTTACGAAGAATCTTTCATACGCGATGTGTGTTATTTGGAACTCTTTGCTTTCCTTATTTACGCTTTTAAGGTTTCCTTTTAGCTTCAAGGTGTCTAGTATTTCTTTGATTGTTTCTATCTTTTCTTGGTCTTCTTTCTCTCTTCTCTGTTCTATTTGGATTCTTTCTTCCTCGCTTATTTTCTTAGTCGGGATTAATTGGCTCGCTGTCTCTTTAGGGCTTTCTTTTATTATCGTGATGTTATTGACTACTGGGGGTGGTCTTTTGACCACGTCATTATATCTCCGCCATACAAAGTCCTTGTTTGTTGTTTTGCTCGCTCCCTGTTCCATGATTCCTCTGAACGCGGCTCCTAGGGGATTCAAGATGCTGTTGCTAGTTTGTCTGTCTTGCGTTTGCGCATTTTGTCTTCTTCTTTCTTCAAAGGCTTGATTTACTCCTCTTCTCGCTGCTGTTTCGATTTCTTGGCAGAGCGGGGTGTTAAAGCGCGTTTCCCATCTTGGGGCTGGAAAGTCCTCCCTCGCTCTTCTCCTTCGCGGCTGGGCACTATTTTCGCTGTTGACGCTGTTATAAGATGTACTCGCTGCAGTGCCATAGCTGGTGCTATGGGCACTGTTGTACTCGCTGGTCGCGCTGTTGGTTGGAACACTGCAGTAGTTTGTTGAGCTCGCTGCGCTTCCCGGTACGCTGTTATAGCTGGTGCCACTTGCTGCCGTGCCAAAAATGGTACTGTTCGCGCTGTTATAGTTACTCGCTGAATTCGCGCTGTTGTAGTTGCTCGCTGAATTGGTAGTGGAGCTCCTTTGGGTGCTCCAGCTACCATTATCGTTGTTAGCAACGACGTTTGCGACGTTATCCGTCATTGCTCTCAATCTCGCCTCGGCTGCCTCGGCAATTAAATGACGGTCCTGGATTGGAGTCCTGGGTCTGGACCCAAACAGAGGGTTAACAAAGTCTCTCATAACGCGTTATTTCGTAAAAGACCGACATAATTTCATGGTAAAAATCAAAAACACAAGGGACACAAAAGCAAAAGTATAAGAACATCAATTAAGAGCGTCAAAGTCATGCACAGTATCGAAATCAGAGTCAGTTTTCAAAAATCTTCAAAGTTGTGATCACTCACCAAACACTAAAAATCTCAAGAATTTACACCAGGAAAAACTTGTTCAGGTCCTCCATACTCTTTGTATGGTTCGCACAATAGTTCTGCATCTTAAAATTTTCATTTAGCTCGCTATTTCACTCAGAAAAGTGTTCATCACCTAAGTCCAAAAATCTTTACACTTACGTGGTTTCTGCACTATATGATGTTTATCTGCATGTATTCTTCCTGGTTCCTCCTTTTCTTCTTCCTCCTTCCACTGGTTCGCCTTCTACAGCACTTTTTGTATATATATATATATATATCACAGTGAAAATGGGTCCCCCCTCCTCTCCTATGGGGGCTAGGGACTCCAAAGTTGCCAGGGGGCTTCCCCTCCAAAAGTACCACAAAGGATTGACCCAAAGCAAATTTCGTCAAAAACCGCGTAAGTCCAACCGTTTCCGAGATATACGCTTTTTTATATTTTTATACACTTTTTTACCGGAATTTTAATTATGAAACACTCTGTACATGTACCGCGGGGGTTTCTTAGTATTATACACGCTGTATACAGTTCGCAAAGGTCATTTTTGCACTAAAATAAAATTTTTGAAAAATTTTTACAAATTAAACACACTGTACATTTTCATCGTTTATGGCACACGCTGTATATGCAGGGTCGGGCCTGCCTTTCCCGAGCACCTATCCGGGGAAAAACTCCCGAGCACCGCGCCGCAGACAGCGGATGGCCCGGAAATACGACACCTGCCACGAGGTTTTCGCACGTTTTCACACTCTATGTTAATTAAATGGGCCAAAAACCGAACTTTGAGGTCCCATAACTTTTACACTTTTAGTCCGATTTTGACGACCGATATATCAAAATAACCGCGGCGACGAGACGCGTCGATTGACGTATCGCACGATTTGATTCCACTAAAACTGCCGAAGTTATCGCGCTGCAACACGGAGCGTTGCCGAGTACACGTCCTTACTCCACGAGAGCTCGCTCAACACTAGTAGTAGATAGGGACAACAACAACAAACTTTGAGATTAACGTGCCGGTACCTGGGCGGCGCTAGGCCGTCCTCACCCGGCACGGGGGGTCTACCCCTCGTGTCGAAAGGTTAGCGGAACCGGGTTCGTTCCCACGTCCTCAGCGTGCCGAACTGGGATTGGACTTGCCCCAGTTCGGTACCGATGCGCTCGGTGGGCGATCAACTCCGGCCGGGGCCGGGGGAGTTAGTTGACTTACGATCTGCTCTGCTTGGTTTTTGCAGTTCGCTGAAGGTTTCCTGCTCCGCACCAGCTGGCGGTCGGTGTCATCCAAACACCTGACACTTTTGGCTGCCTATGCCGTTTGCATGGATTCCTCGTTCCCGAGGTTCCAAGGTAATTTAGCGTCTTCCGACGTCGGGACTTAGTCCCTGGCCTTGAGCGAAGTTGGCCTAATACCACCGGTAAGGGCGAGAGTCTTTAGTCGACTCTTACCCCTACCCCGAGCTAACCCGCCTTCACTCGGAACCACACAGAGTCCAAACCCGTGGAGGCCGCAGGATTGTATCCTGTGGGCGCAGACCTCCCCCTGTGTACCAGGATTCAAACCGACGCCTCGGTAAGGGCTTAACAGCCAGGGCTCTTGGTCGGCCCGAGGAGGGGTCCTAAGGACCCCGAAACTCTCTGCTTTTCTTGCTCACTCTTCGGCGAGCTTCCGGCTCGCTTTTACCTCTCGCTGTATACTCCAGTTCGCACTTTCTCGCTGTCGAACCCGCCTGGGGGGGAGCAAAACCGCTTACCGGCGGATAAAATCTCCTGTTCCTCCAGTCGTTTTCGTCTCTTTCACGCTGGCTTACGTTTCCTCGTTCCACCCTTGTACAGGTGGCTGCGTTTACATTCTTACGCTGCCTATAAGGGCTTCGCGATTGTTTCGGCTCCTCTTTCATCTTGGACGCTGTCAACCCGGACCGTTCGCTACTCTCCTCTGCGCGTCGATTTTCGCGCAGATTTTCTTGAGGCTCTTCCTTATCGCATCGTATACTCTCTTGTCTCTAATGTCTGTCGGGTCTTCAGCGTCCCCCATTCTGCTCATCATCTCTTCTCTCTCGTTCAGATGTCTTTCACACTCCCATACAACGTGGTCGACGGATTCTACTTCCCCACATTCACACCGGTCGGTTTCCGCTTTCCCGAGCCTATAGAGGTACTGTCGCACCCCTATGTGCCCGGTGACGTAGCCGACCGCCCATCTATCCACTGTTCTCTTGCTCTCCGCCCATTCTCTCACATTTCTGATCATCTCTTTCACTCTGACGTTTTTGATCTGACCGGTGGTGCCGGTCCTGATCTTTTCGTCGTATTCCACTTGCGCGTATTCTTCCTCCCATTCTTCCCATTCACACTCTATCAGCTCGTCTTCATACTCTCTGATGATCATTCTTCTCTCTGGGTTCTCTATTCCTTCCATTCTGCGGTCGTATCTCCCTTCTT